TGATTCATGTGTAACCGAAACTCCGCGCGACGGTTGTCCCGCGAAGGCAAGCAAACCCGTCGACAATCATGCAACGTGCCGCGTTGCCAAAAACCGAACGTCGACGACGCCGCGCTTTTAAAAGATCAAAGTCGACGATACGGCGAGCGATTCGGCAAAGCTCGAATTTTATCTATCGAAGAGTAATTGAAGCGTTTTTCGTTACTGCTTAATAAATATATAAATCAATACGTCGTGTGTCTCTCGCGTAGCGTAAATGAATTGATCTAAAAATCTACGCGACTCCTCGAAACGTCAATCTCGGACGGTGCGCGCGCGCGCGAAAGAGAGCAAAGCCAATATCGTTCCACAATATCGTCGCGCGAGTATAACCCGTGTGAAACGATCCGAAACTGATTCAGAGCACGCCGAGCGCGGACCCAGGCAACATCCCGCGGAGGGAGGGGGGAGAGGGATGGCGTTAGTGTCCGTTAGCGACGAGAATTTCGACAGTTCCAACGGGTCAAGTGAGATTAAACGAGAATTCGGTCGAGAGAAACGAGGGTGATTGCGATAAAACGGAGGGCTATTCGCGGCCGCGCTACGAGCAACAATGCATTTTTCTCTCCGCGCGCGCTCACTCACGCGCGACTCTGTAAACATTTAGTTACGTCACAATTGGCGCGCAAGAGGATATAACAAAAAAAAAAAAAAAAAGCCGTGCCGCGACGAAGGCAAACGGAGCGCCGCGCATGCGCGCGCGCGCGAAATAATTACTCTCTTATCCGAGCGGTTGAAAAATTAATGCTCGATCGCGAAACATCGCCTCGATAAGGTCCGCGCGATATGTGTTGTCCGCGCGCGTTTGCATTCCAGAATTTTACTCAGCGCGCAATTTTCGCGAAATGTTTATCCATTATACATCATGCAATTTGCAATGTAAGCGTATATACAGGGTGTTTCAGAACTATGGGATCAAACTTCTAGGGGTTATTCAGTGCAACAGTAGAAAACATTTGAGTATAGGGACCCATGTCCGGAAAAGTGTCACTACCGCACTACGGCCCTAAGACGCGTTAAAATTTAGAAAG